GTAGCAATAGCAAGAGCAGTAGAAGTAGTAGTAGTGGTAGTGGTGGTAGTGGTAGTGGTAGTGGTAGTGGTAGTGGTAATGGTAGTGGTAGTGGTAGTGGTAGTGGTAGTGGTAGTGGTGGCAGTAGTAGTAGTAGTAGTAGTAGTAGTAGTAGTAGTGGTAGTGTCAAGAGGTCCGACAAAGGGTAAAATCACCGAAAAGATAAACCCAATGAAGTAGATCATCAGCCAGGACTTCGCATGAGAGAACCCCCACCATTGGAACGCGGGACGACGGTTTTAAGTCGTTCAACAAACAACACAAGCCAACAGTATCTCGAAAGCTCTCAATGTACGGTGCAAGCCAAAACCTCATAAGGTGAGACACCGCAACGACCGACCGCACAAGCCCCAACACTAGAACATCAGCAGCTTTCGAAAAAGTGCTAACATAAAGAATTCCAGTCCGACATGCGCGATAGTACCACTGGAGCCCCGGAACCAACAACCACACGCTCCGCGCAGTACTTTTTGTAAGAACAAACCATTTAAAGCCTCACCAGCAGATTCAACCCGTGAAACCTCAACAAGAACAGAGTAAGGACTCCAAGGTAACATGGCATGTTCACATCAGCTGGCGAAGAATGGTGCGCATGTACGAATCACCATGGACCCAGCTCCAATCGCCTCACAAAGCCGTTAAGACGCGATCGCAGACCCTTATGCAGGCTCACCAACAGCTGGCCCATAGCCCCAGACAATCAGGCCAAAGGTTCTTTTGTTTGCAGTGAGTTACAAGTCCTGCACATTGAATTCGAGAATGGCTAAAAGGAAGAGCGTGTTGTTGGTTTTTGATGGTTGAATGATCGCAGCCCGCATTACTGGTGAAAGTTCTTTACTCACTGGGGACGGTGCCAAGCATCGCTTCTGACTCTTACGAAACAGACGGCTGGACCAGGCCCGCTCTTCCAGCAGTCAGTGTTGGTGTGGCAGATTCGCCCCACCTCAAGGCGCATACAGAACGGGCCTCAATTCTGGTCATCAGCTGCCTGTGTGACGGGTGTCACGTGGCGTCACTATCGTTGGCATCGCGAAATCCTATACCGGCTCTTCATGACAGCATTCCTAAGGGGACCGCAGTCTGTGCCGGCTCTGCAGGCCCAGGCAACATGTCGTATAATCTCCACCACAATCGACCAAGTTAAAGCCACTTGCTGAACCGTTCACCCGGTATGGAGATACTCTCGCTGCCACATTGCGCCAACATGTTTATCTGCCAGAACAAAGCGCCCAGCTCCAAGAAGTCAGTAAAGCATGAATGAATCTCTTTCAGGAGCTTGTTGTGAAGCGGATTGACAGCCCTCCCCGATCA